ACTATCTCTTACTGTGCTAGCCGCTACAGTGTTTCTTTTCAGATGAATTATATCCTGTTTGCCATCTTATTTCCCTGGGTTCTCCTCCAATAGCATTCTATCCACTGCTCCTCCTACTTCATTACTCTCAGCTTCCTGTTAAAGTGGGGAGTTAAGCTGCCTCTCAAAGTGAGGAAGGGGGCACTTAGAAGAAGTAGCACCTGCGAGCAAACACGGTGTTCGAAAACATCCGCGTAAGCCTGGACAGAGAGCAAATCAAGAGTTTGCACATGCTAAAATAGGCTGAGTGAGTCCAAGCTCAGCTAGCCATGCTACAACGCTCCATCTTACAAGTCTGCCCACATAAGACCACCCTTGTACTCTTAGATATTACTGTGAAGAGATCAAGTGGGCTTTGTAGTCCTTAGACTTAACTAGCACCACTGGCTGGCCTCCTTAAGTATGCTAGGCCGAGGCAGTACTCTCAGATGCCCCTAAGACAAGTGTACTGTTCAGAAAACCAATTGAGTTTTATAATCTTTAATTTATTAAAGAATAAGCATGTTACTAGGTATCAAAACCAAACTAAGCCAAAGCAAGAAAATAAGCATTGTGTTAGTTATTTACAACTCTGTAGTGAGGCAAAGAAAACATGAAAAATAGAAAAGTGTTCAAAAACCTTACAAAAACACAAAAAGCCATTAAAAAGAATAAAAACAGTTCCAGTCCGGTATTTCATTAGTAAAAACAAAATAATCCAAGTAGGTTATAAAAAGGCTATAGTCCTCAGTGATCCTGTAGAACAAGAATCCTGTACTAAAAAGAAAAATCCAGTAAATGTACCATTGTCCTTACAAAATTACAAGAGCATAGTCCATACTAAGTATTCCAAAAATAATAGTTCATAGAGAAATAATCCATAGTCCTTAGGAAAAAGTCCATAAGTCCAAGGGTAATCCAATATAGTACAAAGATCGGTCCATGTAAAGGTTAGTCCCGTGTGTCACGAATGAATGAAGAGTTGGTCTTGAATGACAATGTCCATAGGCACAAAGTTCCTTTTTCAAGAGTAACTGGCAAGGGCTTATCGCCCCTTCCCACGATGTCATCCAGTCAGAGTTCGTTACTAGGCAAACAGTCCTGTTGCACCACATGACTTCTTTCCCATACACACCAGATGTTATATGGGTTTACTGTGGTTTCGCAAAAAGTCACAACAATTCCCATCTAATCACACCGAGTCCTTTTCTCAGGCTATCAGAATAACATTCTCTCTGCTCGCCTAGAAAACAACCTGTTAGCATAACATAGATACTTTATACGAAGAAACAAGATGGAACCTCTCTTGCTCATTTCTTAATTACAAACCCCATATTCCTTACAAGACTTTAACTCAAAAACCCATCTCATCACAGCACCAACCACCTGTATGTTGTAAAGTTCAGTCAGAGCTTTGGCACTATCACAAATGAACAAAGTAGGAAGCTCTCTAAGCATAATGAGGCAGCCCTTTGACCCCTCAGCACCCTGTATACATCATCTTGATTTGTCTGCCATTCCTTTAGCAGTTTGTACTACTTGTCAGTCTATAACTAACCAGGAAGTTAACTGTCCATGGCTGTGAAGTCACATGTAACCTGTTCATTTTCAGATACCAGTTATAACAGAAGATAATAGCAGATCCCAGAGTACAGCCTGCCATATGTGTGAGGTCCATGTTTACCATGGCAAACATGAAATTCTGAGCCATTCCTGACTCAACATGATTGAAGTTACCCAGACCAATAAACCTGTGATACTTCAAAGTTAGACCTGAGATTCCTCAGGAAGGTATTGTTTAGCAATGAGCAGTGCACAAAAGAATTCTAGTTCTGTCCCAGTCATTCAACTGCAGCAGCATACATTCAAAACTGGCAGACTGCTAGATGGAGCATTTGATTAGTGAGAGCGAGTTTTTGCAGATTGTAGCCACTCTGCCAACTCCATCCTCCTGTACTGCAGAGTAGCCATGTGAACAAAGGTCGGTTCCCCCCTTCTCTTAACCAGGCTTCCATAATACAGGCTTCAACATCTTCATTCAGAATGAGATCTAGCACAATTGATACTTGTAACGATCCTGTCTCCCTAAAGAGACAATGATTGTGGTCAGGGAGTCCCTTTGGGTGCACAACTACCACCTTTATTTCCTGAGATAGATCCCTTAGGCCTCAGACATGCTTAGTAAGCCCCATAGACAAGCCTGAACCTTAAATGTAACCTTGATTGCTTCCAAAGCAATAAAACCTAGGCTATGTGTTTCCTTAGAAACACCAGCCTTGTAAAGTAGGACAGTAGGACCTCTATTTACAGTAGCCACTATTAACCTTCTTTCATCCACACTGGATTTAGTTATAGTCCTGCTATGTCAAGAGACTAGTCCTCTATTGAAGTTTTATATTTGTTTTATTAAGAAAATAAAGTAGATTCATTAGATTATAGTTGTAGCTTTAAAGCATAAGCGTTAGGTATCTTCAAACCGTTACAATGTTTAAACAAACTTACAATTTCTAAGTAAAATAATAAACAGCTAAGTCTACGTAAATAAATAAATAAACATCTTGACTAGGAACTGCACTATTTCCTCCTCCTCCTCCTTGAAATAAAAACAAACCTCTGTGTCTCACATTCCACAGCATTCAAGGACCGAACTTCTCACATACACAAACCCTCTCATTTTACATCTCTTTAGGATCTCCTTCTTCAAACTGACAACCAATTAAGTCCAAGTAGGTGTAATTCAAATCACTCAGAGTTCTCATGTTCCAGGCTCCAGGTGTCTTATCTTCTTCAATTTAGCGGTCTGTTGTTTGTCCTCCTTTTCCTGAACTGTCTGACCTTGTGAATTAGGCAAACAACTCTTCACAACAAGCTCCTGAAAACATATCTTTTAAATTCATCTTACATAGAACCTAATAGATTCCCTTTTATTATAACTACAATTCCCAGTTTCCTTCCATTTACTTACAGTACTTTTCCTACTACTGACCTGACATTAAAAGGGGGCATTTTTAGGCTGGATGATCTATCTTCATTGTCATCTCATCATAATTTATTTCATTAAATTGCAATCTGAATGGAGAAAATAACAATCAGTGGCCTGTCCTCCTTTCCCTGTAGCAACTAGACGAGTTTCCCACCATCTCTTCCCTTCTGGTAACTCTCTTGTTGCTGTCATTGTTGTTGTTAGGATAAATGTGAAAGTATGTATTTAAATTGGCTCATGATTAGACATGGGAATGAATGTAAAAATGAATCGGGATAGTCAGTGAATATCCCTGATTCGTCAGATATTCATTGCTTCTTATTCTTGGGATCCAGAGACCAAGACAAATATGAAGTAACAAATATAACCCTTTCATATTTGTCCCTTCTTTCCCTATCTGCTTATGCCGGCACAGATCAGGTGTTCCTCGGAGGCATAAGCAGAGAGAGATTTTCCCTTCAGATGGCCTGCCCAAAGGGAATCCCATCCCTGGGGCTGGGGGGGTGGCTTGGTTCCCCTTTCTTCCTCTTCCAGTAGCCGCACGGCATAGGAAGAGGAGGGAAGGGATCAAAGAGATCCCCCAGCCAGCAGTGGGATTGTGGTATGGTTTGGGTTCTGCTTTCTCTCATCTTCCTATGCCTCCATGGCATAGGAAGGAGAGGGAAAAGGGGATCAAAATGATCCCCCAGCCCCGCTGCCTTTGCAAAGGCAGCAGGGCTGGGGTATCCTTTCCATCCTCTTCCTATGCTGCACAGCATAGGAAGGCTGTCAGTGCCAGGGCTTTAAAAATTTTTTTTAGATAGCCCCACGGACTGTCTAAAAAAAATGACCCGACAAATTGCTGAATTGATTTGTTGTTCATCGGGACACTGGGAGGCAATTGGTTGTTTGTGGGTCATTAAGTTTGACAACCCATGCACTTCATCCCCATCTCTACTCATAATACAGTTTAATTTATTATGATCATTTTAACTGCAGATATAATTGATTTAAATTGTTCTTATGTATGTTTGATTTACTTCATTTTGGCATTTCTACCGCTATGTGATAGCACTGCGGGTTAAACCGCAGAAGCCTCTGTGCTGCAGTCATAAGATCGAATCCACGCGATGGAGTGAGACCCTGTCACTAGTCCCAGCTCCTGCCAACTTACTGGTTCGAAAGCATGTAAAATGCAAAAATGCGATTAGATAAATAGATACCACCATGGTGGGAAGGTAATGGCGTTCTTTGTCTAGTCGCGCTGGCCACATGACCACGGGAGATTGTCTTCAGACAAACACTAGTTCTATAGTTTGGAAACAGAGATGAGCACCTCCCCCTAGAGTCGAACATGACTGGACAAATTGTCAAGGGGAACCTTTACCACTACATTTGTTTTTACTATGTTTAGTGATAATTGCAAACTACATTAAGCACTATATAGTGCAAAGGCAGGGAAGGAGTGTATTAAACCAGTGGTCCCCAACCTTGGGCCTCCAGAGTTGAACTGCAACTCCCAGAAGCCTTCACCACCACCTCTGCTGGCCAGGATTTCTGGGAGTTGAAGTCCAAGAACATCTGGAGGCCCAAGGTTGGGGACCACTGTATTAAACAATAAATAAATAAATGTACTATACCACTGTTAGATGAACTGGTAGGAAAATTCCTTGGAAAAACAAACTGTTCTTTGGCATAGAGGTCTGAATAATCAGACCTCTATGCCAAGTAAGACAGAATGTTTCCTGCAGTGTCTTGCATGCTTTAGTTGTTTTGGTTTTAGAAAACCAAAACTGCTTCTATTTTGAAAACATAACCTACAGTACAGAAATAGAAATACAGCTTTCATTACAGATAGCAGTCTGCAGAAAATGTATTGTAAGTTCACATTTACGATAATGGCTGTTATTCACTCTTATGGAAAATATGACAGTGGTTGTCATGGGTCCTCTGTTATTCTGGATAAATTGTTAATGGAGGTGGTGATTAATTACATTTCCATATATTCATTTCTTAATAGGTGAGAAATGCTGAAGATGTAACTCTGATGCCACTTACCATGCAGGATGATCTAAGAACTAACCTGTCCAAATATGAAGGTGGAAGCATTGAATATGTTAGCAGTGAGTCAATGGGTCTGCACTTTGCTTATTTCAGAAGACATGTTTAGATAATACTTGATTCCTGAGATATAGCTGGTATTACTTTGGGGAGTATTCACCAGCCTTGTATAAGTTTTGCAACCTTGATCATGAGAATGTCTGCTTTCCATGCTCTAGGACCAAGAAACATAGGTTGGAATGGATGAGGACAGATACAGAGAGATTCAGGTGCTGTGGAACATCTTTGATGTATGGAGACTGCAAGACATCTCCATTTGTCTTGTTGGTAGAATTGTCCTCAGTCTTACCAGGAATCCTGGTGTTCCTAGTCTTAGAATCCTAGCTGGGAAAAGTTTTTGCAGGGTGCCAGGGTGTGCTCACCTATGTTTTCCCCTGCCCTAGGTAAGTGTCATGCCTAAAAGGTAAGGGAAAAATATTTTGAAAGTGTTCCAGTGGAACTCTGAACCATTTGGAAGCATTCCATGAAACAAAGATGTGACCCCATTGTCAATTCTCAGTGGATGAGGTAATCATTTCACATATACCACTTTTTAAAAAGCAAAGTCTTACCAGTGGACTGTAAGAAGAATGAAGGAAGAACAACTTATAGGTATTAATAAGTCTGAATGACTGAATTTCTTGGATAATTTGGTTCAGAGGAACTGAGTACTGCTTTCCTGTTGCATCTGTTGTTCTCAGGTAGTATTTTTCACTGCTGAAGATTGCCCCACCCTGGAACCCCTAAGAAATTAATTTTATAAAATGTTAACATTGCCTTTTTATATTCTACCCAATCCTAAAGGTTCAGGCCAAAAGCCATGTAATTAAATGTTTAAAATAATCTGAGTGTAGAACGTTAGGTAAAGAAACATCAACCAATAACCTTCAGAATCCCAGTCCGCCTCCATAACGCTCACAGAGGGGACCTTTTGCCTTCCTAAATTATATCATGTTATCCCCACATTACTTAATCTAACCTCCATCAGAGTACCCCATATTTCATCAGTTCTTTACCATGGTTTCTGTGGATCATACAGTTGGGTTTGTGCTTATGCAGAGCCAATTCTTGAAACAATCTAGAGCTGATCTTCCCTCCCCACCGTAAGTCACCTTCACCCTCTCCTTCCTTTCAAGAAGATTCCTCAGCATCATCTGTCTTAGATGGTAATGTATCATCTTACATAAATGAGGACGCTCCTCCTAATATAAACATGCCGGATTCGGATGTTGGGGACTTGCACCCTCCATCCCCTTCTCAGGACTTTACCTCATATTCTCGAATGATATCCAGAATGTCCAGGTCCCTGCAGCTAGACGTTGAACAGCCACCACCTCCCAAACAACATCTAGTGTTTGACGACATTAATAAAAAAAAAAACTTGCCCGTTAAGCCTAGCTTTTATTCCAACCATGATGGATACCATTAAGGAAGTTTGGAACTTATCATCATCTTCAATGCAAATTTCAAGAAGAATGGAGGGGCATTACAGAACACATGGAGATGACACTCTGTTTCTCTCAAAACACCCGGCTCCTGACTCCATTATCGTTCAATCAAACTTGTCCAGAACAGGTGGCAAGGCTAAGGTCACCCCTACCAATCGTGAGGAGAGAAAGTTGGATGTGCTTGGGCATAGAATGTATTCCTTTGCTTCTTTTTTGTTTAGGGCATCAAACTACCAAGCAGCATTAGGGGCTTACCAGAAACAACTTCGGGCCAAAATCCTTCATGCCCTTCAGGCAGCCCCTGAAGAAACTAGAACATTGCTGCTTAATGCCCATGCTGAGGCTTTAACTGTTGCAAAAGATCAAAGAGTAGCATCCTGCCGTGCGGCTGCGGTTGCTTCCAAGTCCTTGATGTCAGCAATTGCGTTAAGACACCACGCTTGGCTAAGATCGTCAGGGATTGCTGAGGATGCTAAAGCGCACATAGAAGAGCTATCCTTCTATGGGGCTGGTTTAATGAAAAAAACGATGAGATCATGGAGACCTTTCACAAAATTAAGAAGACAGCTAGGTCGTATACGATACAGCAACAACCAAACATTCAAAAGTCTCAATGGTGTAGATCCTATGGTCAGCAACAGTACCATCAGAACCACCAGACTTACCAGTCTTATAAACCACAAGCACAGGGACGGTCAGTTCAGCCTTCAGCAGACAACACTTCCTTTAAGCCTCAAGCTTCTTTTCAGCGCTGTCAAGTTTACCATCAGCCTTCCAAGAAAGGAAAGCAGTACCTTTGACTTTCACTTGCTAGACACCAATATTACAGCCCCTCAGACCAGATTGGCCCCATTCTTTAAAAATTGAACTCACATCACCAAAGACACATGGGTTCTATCCATCATTCAGTTCGGTTACCTATTAGAATTTTCAGAACTTCCTCCAACCGGGTGCATAAAAGTTACGTCCTGCAACCCAGCCCTAGAGGAAGAAATTTCATCACTGTTGCAGAAACATGCCGTCCGACATGTGCCATCAAGAGATATTGCAAGTGGATTTTACTCCCATTACTTTGCAGACCCCAAGAAAGACGGGGGCATCAGACCCACACTAGACCTCAGGTTACCTCAGGTTACTTACCTTCATCCAAGGCGCTTCCGCATGGTCTCACTGGAATCAATCATCCATCTGTTAAGGCAAGGAGATTGGTTTGTGGTAATAGATTTAAATAACCCCTATTTTCATGTATCCATTTACCAACGGCATCAAAAATACCTACGTTTTTTTCTTCGGAGATACTGCTTGTCAATTTTATGCCCTACCCTTCGGATTGTCAACCACGCCAAGAACTTTTACAAAGTGCATGGCACCAGTGGCAGCTTACCTTCATCTGTACAACATTGCAGATTTTCCATAAATCGACTATTGGCTGATAGTGGCTGTGTCTTTTCAGAAGGCTGTACAAGACACCGAGTTTGTTCTGTGAACCCTGGCAAACCTAGGTCTAAAAGTCAACTACAAGATGTCTCACTTGCAGCCAACTCAGATAATGGACTCCATAGGGGCGCGATTGGACTCCACTTGTGCGCAAGTGTTTCTTCCTCCTGAACATTTTCTTCGTTTCATCCTCATACAACAGTATCAGCACATCATACACAACATCTCCTAGGTCTGATGGCTTCAACTACGTGTGCCGTCCCTCATGCGAGGCTCAAGATGCACCCCCTACAGGCATGGTACCTGTTTCAATTCGATCACCTGGTGGACGATCCTTCCACGCGTCTCTCTGTAAACAAGGAGTTAACGCATCAAGTGTAACAAATCTGCTAATGGGTCACCCATTCCGACTGTTACAGCTCACAATTCAAGTAACAATGGATGCAAGCCCCACAGGATGGGGAGCTCACTGCAGTCCCCACGAGATTCACACTCTTTGGTCCAAACAGGAGAGGCGCTTGCACATAAACCATCTGGAATTATCTGCAAAATGAGCAAGCGAGCTAGCTGCCCTTAGAGCTGATGCACCGTACCTGCAGTTTTTTCCAGACAAAGTTGTTCTCTATACAGATATTTCGTTTCTACTTAAAGTAGTTTCAAATGTTCATGTCAATCAGCCATTGACTTTACCTATGTTGTTTCCTAATCCTTCTTCAGATGTTGAGCGCATCCTCCATTCGTTAGATGTTCGCCGTGCTTTGGCAACTTATACGTTCAGAACTAAAGACTTTCACACCTGTCCCAAGTTGTTTACAGTGGTGCCTCGCTTAACGACAACCCGTTCCAGGAAAATCGCCGTTAAGCGAAAACATCGTACAGCGAAATTAAAAACCCTACTGAAACGCATTGAAACCCATTCAGTGCACTCCAGTGGTCTAAAATCTCACCGTCCAGCGAAGATCCTCCATACAGCGGCCAACTTTGGCGCCTCTATAGCAAGGAATCCGTCCCTAAACACAGTGGGGAGCCATTTTAAGCGCCCGGCGGCCATTTTGAAAACTCAACGATCAGCTGTTTTTGATCGTCGTAAAGCGAAAATCAGTTCCTGAAGCAGGGAACCGATCATTGCTAAGCGAAATTCCCCCATTTAGACCATCATTTTGCGATCACAATTGTGATCGCAAAAAGATCATCATAAAGCAGATTTGTCGTAATGTGGGGCGATAGTTAAGCGAGGCACCACTGTATATGTTTCTATTTAGAACTGGTTAGGCCTCACCTTGAGTATTGTGTCCAGTTCTGGACACCACACTTCAAAAAGGATGCTGACAAATTGTAACAAGGATGATCAGGGGGTTGGAAATGAAACTCCATGAGGAAAGGCTGAAAGAACTGAGCATGTTTAGCCTCGAGAAAAGAAGACTATGGGGAGATACAATCACACTTTTAAAATATTTGAAAGGCTGTTATACAGAGGAGGGGCAGGATCTGTTTGTGTTCACCCCAGAGTGCAAGACACATAATGATGGGCTCAAGAAAGCCAGATTTAACCTGAATATCAGGAAAAACATCTTAACTGTTAGAGCAGGATGACAATGAAACCAATTACTTTAGGAAGGGGTGAGTGCACCAGTGCTTGAGGCATTCAAGAAAACAATGGAGAACCATCTGTCAAATCTGTTTTGATTCCGATTTCTTCATTGAGTAAAGAGATTGTCCCAAAGGCCTTATAGGGTCCTTCCACTCCATTATTCTAAGATTGCCGTACATCTAGTTGTCCTTGCAAATTCCTTTGTGGATGTCTTCAACAGGACAGTTTACGCTCTCCATGAATGGGAGTTGAAACTGAACATTTCTTTTTTGTGGCCTCTGTGAATGCACACAAATGGGTCTTGTCTCTGCCTGCGCTGGCATTCTCGGAAGATTCTAGAGCTAAAAGTGATAGTTTTATGGGATGATCCCCTGTGAGGCACATGCTCCTCCCACTCAAGATTCCCCTCAGTTCCTTTTTTCCACCGTGCTAAAAGGTTCTACAGAAAAATAGAGCAACTTCAAATTGGTTTTTCATAGATTATTAGACACTTCCCCTTCTAATCACCACTAAATTGAATGCTTCTTTTCAATCAACTAATCAGAGA